TTTGAAGGCGAGTGAAAGATGTCTTAAATAGTTAGAAAATAAATCGTGTGTTAAAAAGAGCGGTTGACTCAGTTTGTGGAGACCATGCTCCATTAACTTTTGTGTATCCAGATCACAGCTTATTTCTTCTGAGATATGAAGACATGAGACAGAGATGATGGACGGAGAGTGGAAACAGTAGTTCATCCTCTTTCAGTCAGGAGGAAATGAAATAAAAACAAAGGGAGGACACTATTTCTGAAAGAGAGAGAGGAAAGGTGGAAGGAGGATGAGAAGGAATGTGAAGGAGGCACAAAAAGGGGAAGAGAAGATGACAGGGGGCCAGGAGAGGAAATGAGAAGTCAGCAGAGGATGGAGGAAAGGAGGAATTAGTGTCATGATGGGAGGATCAGTGTGGTGCTTCTTTGAAGTCAGCAGCAAGTACACACACACACACACACACACACACACACACACACACACACACACACACACACACACACAGAAACGCCCTGCTAAAAGATACGACCTGTAGATCTGAAATCAGCAGGTGCATAAAACTACAGAGACATAAACAGGAAGTCACCCATCAGTGAATTTAACCCCACAGAGACAGAGAGAGAGAGAGAGCAAGAGAGACATGTACCTTTACCTGCCCATTGTAAATGTGGTTTAAATGCTCATTATCAACTTTTTCCATAATGAAGATAAGACAACTATTTGAATACAGGTTTGTTTTGGTAAAAGAGACAATCCTGCGACTTTAAAATGAGGAGAACTCAAACACAGAGCCAAACCAGCAGCTCGAGCAGCTTATGCCTGTGTCCTTTGTTTTCATTTGGCTTTGGTGAAGACAGCGCCAAACATAAGGAGTCAAATGAAAAAAGCTACAGAAAAAAAATGTCATGTCTGGAGTTTCCTGTTTGCCTTATTTTGAAGTCATTAACCCCTGTCTGTTTCAGATGTGTTCTTGTCTGCCTTGCCTCCGCCTTTTTACACCTGCCTCTCCTGATTTGTCTCCTTACCCGTTTCCCATTTCTCTCTTTACCTCTTGTACTTAACCTCATATGTCTCACTGTCTTGTTGCCAGTTTGTTTTACTTCCCGTCAGGTTTCTTCTAGTAATCTTAGTCCATGATCTCAACCTTTTAGCCTAGGGTTCTTGGATACCTCTTCCAGCAATTTTGCCTTTTCGTGTACTGATCTCTGGACTATAAACTGTAACTGTAAACTTTTGTTTTTTTGCCTTTTGCCTTTTGGAGCCAAGCTTCTCCAATTGAGTCTTTTTGCCACGAGCCTGTTCTAGACACAAATGCTTCATATCATGACAAGGATTCAGTTCACAGAGTTCAAGATCACAGTGATAAGATGCAGATACGCTGAGAAAAACAGGGTATCTGCAGCTGAAATGATTAAAAGTGATCCATTGGTACAAACCACCACTCTTAATATAGTAACTGTATCATTGCTTTGAGGCTGCTTTGTCTTTTATTTTGTACCAAGATGCACCACGTTTTTTTTTTTTTTTTTTTTTACAAAAAGTGACAAGAGACTATTTTTTCTCCCCTTATGATTTCAGTTTGTGGCAACAGAAACTTGATTTTATGTCTTCCAGCTTTAGTTTACAATCAGCTCTGCTTTTCAGAAGATTTGCATCTGTAAACTGTCATTTAAAGCAGAAGGCATGTGTGTTCAGAAGCAAATAAGCATGCATGCATGCACACTTAAGACACAAGACACAAGATCCAAGATGGCGCCCTGAGTAGGTGCCCTGGTGTTTTGGTGCTTGTTGTTTTGTCTGTTATTATGCGTTAAACATGTGTCATTGTGCTCCTACACCCGCAAGGAGCTTCTAATCATCAGATCAACTACACCCACAGACATTACGCCAGTTTTTTTAGCATCTGCTGCTGAACTGGTCCACTTTTTGGCTAAAAGAGTGAGACACCGACGAAGGGGAAAGTGAGCTGGGCTGGTCACGCATCTCAGACAGCGAGGCATGCGTACGCCCTTACCTGGGAGTTTCCTCTCCAACGTCTGCTCACTCAGCAACAAGATGGACGAGCTAGCACTGCTGATGAAGAGGAATAGAGACTCCTCCTTATCTTGTGTTCTGTGCTTCATGGAGACGTGGCTAAATGCACAGACACCGGACTGCGCCATACAACTGGAGGGTTTTCAGCTCCTCCGCGCAGACAGAGATCATTTACTCTCCAGTGGGAAAACAAAAGGTGGAGGAGTCTGCTTCTACATCAAAACTGTTCTCCTTCTCTGAAATATCTCTTCATAAACTGCAAACCATTCCACTCTCCACGTGAGTCTGTCTCATTCATACTCTGCTCTGTTTACATTCCACCGAGTGTGGACGTGCACGAGGCCGAGCGCACGCTTGCGGAGCAGGTTTTGAGCGTAGAGAGGAATTTCCCGGACTCCTTAGTTATATTCCCTGGTGATTTTAACAAAGGAATTCTCAGTCAGGAACCACCAAAATACAAACAGTTTGTAACATGCCCGACCAGAGAGGGGAACACATTAGATCACTGTTACACTACAGCGAGTGGTGCCTATCGCGCTGTGGCTCGCGCACCTCTGGGACTCTTAGATCACGCCATGGTTTACCTGATCCCTGCGTACAGACAGAAACTAAAACTCTTGTAAACCTGTAGTGAGGACATCCAAAGTGTGGACCAGTGAAGCTGTGGAGGAGCTATGCACGTGCTTGGACACCACGGACTGGGATATGTTTAAGGCTTCTACAGACAGTTTAGATGATTACACAGACACTGTGACGTCGTATATTAATTTCTGTTAAGACAGCATCATCCCACAGTGAAATACAACAATGACAAGCCCTGGTTTACATAAAAACTCTGGCAGCTCTGTCAGCAGAAAGAGATGGCTTTCAGGGAAGGTGACAGAGACCGCTACAAATGTGCCAAGTAAAGTTTTAGCAAGGAGGTGGCAAAGGCTAAAGCCAGGTACAACGCACATCTGGAGCAAATATTCTCCGCCAATGACCCTGCCTCGGTGTGAAGGGGGTTAAAAGAGATTACAAACTACAAGCTGAAAGCACCTCATTCAGCTGACAACTTGAAACTAGCCAGCGACCTCAACGACTTCTATTCACACTTCGAAGTCACGGACTCGCATCCCCTCACCCCCCACACAACTGGAAATCCAACCACTCTGGACCTCCCCCCTCTCCCCGCTGCCCTCTTGGTCGATGAAGAGGAAGTAAACAGAATGTTTAAGTGGCTGAGTCCACACAAGGCTGCTGGCCAGCACTGTGTCTCTCCTAGGTCATTCCAAGTTAATTCAACCAAGAATCTCCACTCACGTCACAGATTTTGATGAAATTTGGTGGAGTGATTGGCCTTCAGGAGAAACTGTCAGAGCTCAAATATTTTTGTTCAAAGCCATCTAATTAGTGAGATAGGGGCTAATGAAATTTCGGCCAATTAGCGTGACATGCATTACAAAAGTGTTCATATCTTTTTGTCCACAACATTTTTTCCCAAATTGGACCAGAAAAAAATTATAAAAGACCAAAAACTTAAATTGGAAATAGCAAAAAACGCGCGTCCTTCAATTTTCTTCATATTCACACTAAAGAAAGACTATCATGTCCACGAGCATCCCTGCAAATTGCAGGATGGGTGTTCCATAACTTTTTGAGTAATCAGTCAAAATGTGTGGTACGTTAGGTCGAAAGTTGCCATATTTGGCACATTATACAGTTCTGACCATAGACTGTATATAAGATGGACGCTGTCTGTCTCCTCGTCGGGTGAAGCCACTCCGAGCACAGCACCCCCTAGAGCCTGGCTGCAGTACAAGTCATAAACCCCACTTCTGCCAGCAAAGTGAATGGAGCGGCGGACGGCCTTTAGAAATTAATTACACAGAAAATACACTTTTCTCACCCCCGACTGCGATGTTGACATGTAGTTATTATTAGACTGGTTTGTGTTCAGGTCTTTTTTTCTCTCTGCAGCTCCACTTTAAAAAGTTATTAGGAGTTATAAAAACAGGAAATTGCGTCATTCTCTACAAATTGCACTTGCCGCTTGTGCATCGCTCTTTTTCGTTCATCGTCAAGACCAATCAGGTTTGCTCGCGGAGAAGAGGATTACATTTTTCCATGGTTTTTCTCTTTTGTTGCATTGGAAAAATGAGTTGTTCTGCAGTAAAGTGTGTTAACCGACATGTGAAATCTGGATCTTTGCAGTTGTTTCGGTAAGTTATGTTTCTTTTTTTATGAAGTCATCAGCTTGCTAGCTACATAACATTAAACGGTCTGGTTAAATTTAGCTAATGGGGTTTACTTACAGATACCAAGCGGTAAGTTCTGTGCCTTATTTAAGCGTTTTTATTAGAAGTTAAAAAATGAGGAAACCCCTTAAAATCTGCCTTCTTTTTATAACAATATTGTGACTACGTGACTTGGAATTTGAATTAAAAACCGTACCGATCACACAGATTCATATTAGCAACCAAATACTACCACAGAGTATCAGGGCATGAAATGAAAACTCGAGGCATGAAGTCATAATGTTAAAGGAATTAATTTGCATTTAAGTCATAAGTATACTTCTGTGGAATGACAATTATCATTTACAGCAGCATGGTAGATTACCGTCTAATTTAAGTTTTCAAGATAGATAGAGAGATTGAGAGAGATTGAGATAAAACTATGAGTAATGTAATTTAGTTATGGAAAGACAGGTGCATATGACATACTTAATAAATCACAATGACATTAAAATTTTTGTTACATGTAAAGAAATCCCTCAATTTTAATAGGATGTTCATAAGACATATCACTCACAAGATGAAATGATTTAGATTATTTATATAGTTTGTATATTCATTCACTGGAGGTATTTTTTGTGATTGTCTTTGAATTTAGAGTTTTGGCTTCAGCCTGTTATGCAACAAAGCAAGAATTGAACTGAACGCAAAACATTAACTTTGTGTTGTTTAAAAACTTGACAAATGGCAGTGAGCAATGTTATTGTATTTTTGTAAAGTTTCCCTTTAGGTGACAAAGCGAGGCTGAAGCAGTGGCTGGTGAACACAAGACGGCAGGACTGGAAACCAACAGGATCATCATGTCTTTGCAGTGCTCATTTTGAAGAGCATGCCTTTACTGTGGACTCAAAGGTTGAAGTATTTCTTTTTTAATGGACAGCAATTTTTATGAAGTTCACATTTGCAACAATTTATTGTTAAATTGACTAACACTTTGAATCATAAAATGGCGGTTATTTAAACATTCCCAAGAGCTGAACGCTACAACTATCGTGGTTCCATTTTAAATTACTGCTGTTTTTATGTTTTTCTCTAGGGTAAGCGTTGCCTCAAACAGGACTGAATCATCAACTGAAGACTGAAGATACCTGTACTTTCCTGATCCTACTGAAATCTCTGGATGCTGCATGTTGTGATTTACAGTCCGCATAAACAGGACTGAATCATCAACAGAAGATGCCTGGACTCAGCTGATCTTCCTGTCATCTGTTTTACCACCGTTTAAGGATTGACAGTCCGCATAAACAGGACTGAATCATTTTAAACCCAAATTCAATTGTGTCAGAAACAAAGTATGCAAAGACCCCTTTACTGCAGTCCTGCTATGTAAATTAGTTTGAGCAGTATTTCTTTTGCACTTTACAAAGGTTTTAGCATGTTTGTTCTATAAAGTCTAAAGTTCATGTTAAAGTTTAGGAAAGTATATCAAAAGAAACAAAAAAAAATGTTAAGATTATTGTGTAAAATCCTTTTTTTATGACCCCATATATTAAAGAATGAGAACTTTGTTCAATGTAGAGTTATTTAAGTTAAATGATTGTTAGAGTTTAAAACAAATCAAAAAATGATTCAAAATAAAATAGTGTGGATTTGTTAAAATGCTGAGTTCAGTATTGTTTGTGATATTTATGTAAATAGAAAAACTCAAAAAGCAAGAAGTTAACAAAAAGCACAAAATTTAAAAAAAAAGTTTCATTAAGAGTTAAAAATGTTCTTGTGTAATGTAAATACAACATATCAATGTATGTTTTCTATGTGTGGTGTTGCATTCAGAGTTCTTCAATTTTCTAAACTTTTGTATTATATTTCAATGTTTGTATTGTATATTTGAATGTTTGTTGTGTTAGAATTTGTCTTGTTCGCCAAGTTTGTCTTGTCCTGTGGACCCACTCGTGGCCTGCACCTTGGTGTGGTGAGTGTGCTTTCAACTAAGATGGGCCTTCTGTGTTACATGCATTAAAGCCACATCAGAAACAAGATCAGAACAAAAGTATTTTAGCAGTAAGGAAATAGATTGTGAAGACAAAGTCAAGACAGAAATGAGAAAAGAGTGAGATTTAAATGTCATTAAATTTAGGAATTTGCATGTAGTTGTAGTGTCTGCTACCACCTACTGGTCATTATTAGTTAGTGTCATCAGTCATTTTCAGTTTAAGTTGTTGCAGCCTGGAGTAAAAAAAAAAACAGGAATCATGTTGCAAAAAAAATTTGAGTGATACCACATGAACAACTTCTTATGCTTAGACCAAATGTGCCCTGTTAGATAAAGGTAACAGCACTAGCCAAGTAGTAGTCTCTAAGAATGCTAACTAAATGAAACCTTTTAAATAATTGGACAAGTATATCAAAACCTCTAAAGTTTTCATGCTGAGCTACCACCTGGTTTGAGACATAAGTGTCAATGAATTTAAGTACTGATATTCACAATTTAATTGATGAATTTCTTTGTGTTTTTCCAGAAGCTACCCTCAGATTCAGACTTCATCACCAACCACTGATGATATGGTGGATTCATCTGCTGCAGCCTGTTTCCTTTTCACCCAATGCAACTCCCAAAGTATTAGATTATATCTTTTTAAGTTCCTGGTAAAATAACAAAAATACAGGTTTTCTGCAAAGTAGTAAAGTATTTATAAATCACAAATGAATACTAAAATGCTTGTCCTCTCACAAGTGTCCATATCATGCTATCTGATTTACATTAATTACATGTTGTTCACTACACATATTGTCAGTTTGTTTTTTCAGTTTTACCACACTTTGTCCACTTCATGGTGAGGACTCGCACACAGAAAGATGGAAAAGACAAATGTCTTGAAAAGTTATTCTTGGTCGCGACGAGCGGGGAAGCTATTAGCGTTACGAGTGCAAGGCTGGAAGGACATCCGGGGGGGGGGGGGGGGGCTTTTTGGCTTCAAATCCGTATACAGGCGGAAGGCAGAACCAGGCTGTCCATCTTATATACAGTCTATGGTTCTGACCTCATCTGGAGTCAGCCCCACTTGCCTGCTTTACTTCCTCATAGTGCAAAATGCTTTTTTGAGTGTTTTCATTTTTGTTTGTTATCCCATATTTATATGAAAAATGGCTAGAATAGCTTATTTTTGCTCAGTTTTCCATCGCATTTCATTTCTATTTGCACCTATATCCAGAATATGAGGGTTGACAAATAACTTCAACCTATGCACCCTGAAATTTTGTTGCTGGTTTCACTGTGAAGTATTCCAGGCTATTTATCCTGAGCCCTTTCAACGTTTCCTTCATACTTCAAAAGTACTTTTAGCATGGTGATCAAGCTTTGTGCAGCTTTTCGATATTGTTAGTTTGTTTCCAAATAGGAAAGAATGTATGAACTACAAAGAGTTTGATAGCGTCAGTGTAAGGAACGATGGTTCCCCAGTCGTCTAGGTCTTCTGACTTTCAGTACATGCAAATCTTTGAGAAAGAGCATATCAGGAGAGCTACAGTAATTAGCAACCATTCCAAAATATACTAGAAGAAGTTGGGCAAGAGGAGAGCAAAGGAGCCATGTAAGGACTGTAAAATAATTTCTCTTGAGTATGGTATCATCCAATACTTGCTCGCGGGAATCCAGATTTTATGATTCACTCTTGGTCAATTTCCTTGATACAGTAATATGGTAGATGAAGTGCCAGCTCATTCTTGTAGCTTATCCGATTTGCCTCTGCTCCAAAGTGCATCAAGAAATTGAGGCTCAGGGCAACAGAGCACCATTATTCACTACTCAAGAGAAATTATTTTACAGTCCATGGCTCCTTTGTAATGCATGTCATGCCAATTAGCCAAAATTTCGTCAGCCCCTATCTCACTGATTAGATGGCTTTGAACAAAAATATTTGAGCTCTGGCAGTTTCTCCTGAAGGTCAATCACTCCACCAAATTTCATCAAAATCTGTGACATGAGTGGAGATTCTTGGTTGAATGGACATGGAATGACCCTCCTGCCACTCTGAGACACTGCGCTGATGAGCTAGCTCCAGTCTTCACAGGGATCTTCAACACCTCTCTGGAGTCATGCCATGTTCCAGCCTGTTTCAAGTCCTCCATCATTGTTCCCGTCCCCAAGAAACTTCGCATAACTGGACTCAATGACTACAGGCCGGTGGCTCTATCATCTGTTAGTCATGAAGACCTTTAAACCCCTGGTTTTATCCCACCTGAAGTCCATCAACGACCCCCTCCTGGACCCTCTGCAGTCTGCCTACAGAGCCAACAGGTCTGTAGACGACGCCATGAACCTGGCTCTGCACTTCATCCTGCAGCACCTGGACTCCCCAGGAACCTAAGCAAGGATCCTGTTCGTGGACTTCAGCTCTGCATTCAACACCATCCTTCCGGCTTTGCTCCAGGACAAGCTTTCCCTGCTCCATGTGCCTGACTCCACCTGCAGGAGGATCACAGACTTCCTGATGGACCGGAGTCAGTGTGTGCAGCTGGGGAAGAATGTTTTGGACACTCGGGCTCTCAGCACAGGATCTCCACAGGGCTGTGTACTTTCCCCTCTGCTCTTCTCCCTGTACACCAACTGCTTCACCTCCAACCATGACTCCGTAAAGCTCATCAAGTTTGTGGATGACACCACCCTCATCAGACTCATTTCGGATGGAGATGAGCCTACAGGATGGAGGTGGACCGGCTGGTGACCTGGTGCTGCAGCAACAATCTAGAGCTCAACGCCCAGAAGACAGTGGAGATGATTGTGGACTTCAGGAAAGCCACAGCCCCCCTGCCCTCCTTCAGTGGCTGAAGTTGGAATAAATCATTTGTCAATAAGTTCCTCATTATGATAAACTAATATCTCATACATGTCTCATATTTTTTATTGCCATGACATAGGGTACGCTGCTCCTATAATTGAAAGTATTAAGTTTTCACTTGTGTCTTTGTAATGTAGAGCAGACAGGAGAGTCTGACAGAGACTGAACAAAAATAATTATTAACCTCACCAAACAGTGTGTTGCTGCCCCTGAGGCACATTTTTATGGATTTCTATTGGATTTTTATCACTGATTAAATAACAAGAGCACTTTCCTAAACTTATATTTTACATGTCAGAATTCACGAATAAGGTCCTGTCTCCTCTGTACAGCACCTTTGTGAGTCTCTCCTCATTATTGTTCTTCGAGCATCAGGTCCTCACGTTGCACCACCACAGACAACGGCACTCCATTCGCCAGAGCAACATTGTGCAAAATTGTACTGGCCCAAATGATGTCCCACACCCTTTCAGGAGTGTACAACAATGTCCCCATGTGCGTGTGTGCGCATTGTTAAAAACGGCACTACTGCTCTGTGGCAGTATTTCTGGGCAGAGTTATCAAATAGGCCTATTCACTAAGGACATAAAAAATTTATTTTATTTTATTTACGTCTTAATTTTTAATGAAATCTGGCTGATTGTGCTTAATGACAGGTTTGAGGTTTGTATATCAATTATTTTGAGACAGACATTTGCTGCACCACAGATCCACACTGACTCAAACTTGCGTACACAATGTCAGACCTATCATGAGATTTGGTCGTAGTGTACGCTCACATGCAGATTGATAAATGCTGATCCTCATGTCAAAATTTTCGTACGCAAAGTGTACAAAAGTTTTCTGCCGTACGCAAGCTTGATAAATGAGGGCCTATGGGTGGTGAATACTTTAGAGCAATTATTAAGAGGCAAATGTTCACTTCCTGTCTGACTCCTTTCTGACTCTAAATGTCTTTTTAAAGCCCCTGAAACTCAAACTGTTGAACCTATATAAACTCTGACACTCTGGTTGTAACCTTCTCCAAGATGGCTTCATATTCTGTGTCTGTTTTTTTTTTTTTTTTTTTCCTTTTGACAGCAGGATAACAAGAAAACTGCTGGACAGGTTTTTATGAAACCTAGTGGAGGAGTGAAGCATGGGTCAAAGAAAAACCCAATAAACCCTGGAGCAGGTTCCTTATCTGAGTCAAGAACAAACAATGATATTGACCAAAATATCTTGCTCCAATTGTTGCTCCAATTGCTCTCAGCCTGAAAGCCTGAAGGATAGAGCCCGAGGCAATAACACTGTCAGGGTTTGGGGGGCAATTCAGCAAGTCTAGGAGGAGTCCAAACATCAGGTAACTTGAGCTTTTCCTACAGAGATACACACTGAAAAACGTGCTGATTTCCTTTTCACCAGAATGCATCCACATATTTACTATCAGATATGATTCAGGTTGTCTCCTGTGGGTTTAAATTTGTTAGAAAGGTTTTAAAGCCCTTGATTCTAGATTGTACTCAGTAGATAAACTTTCCTTTGAAAAAGTGAAACTGTAGAGTAAGACAGAAAATAACACAACAGCAGAGAAGGTACAAGAGTGCAGACGGCAGAAGTGAAGAGACCACCCTTCACGTCTCTGAGCAATCATCCTTCTGTTTCACAGAAACTGTTTCATCTTCCTGCTGGAGCACTTAAAGCTGTCATCAGTCTGACTGTAAAGAGGAAAAAACAGTCTCTGTACGTCTTCTTCATTGGGGTGGTCATCCTTAATGGACCTCATCATCTTCATCATCTTCTTCAAACAATGACAGTGTTTAAACTAAATGCTCCACCTACTGTCATTTTCCACAAAACTATACTCTATAAGAATAACTAAAAAAAACATGAACACACACAGCTGAAGAGCAAACAAAGATAACAAAGTGTTTGATTACTAAAATTTCTGATCTTTAATCTCACACAGCACCACATTAATGAGAATTCTTTACAGATTATCAGAGCAAACTTCCATGTACATAAATCATAAAATCTGGAACATGAGCAACACTGTCAGAAGTAGTTTGGGTTGTTGTTTATAGATTACTTGCATTCTTTTAAGGGGGTGGGATCACAGACTGTATATAGAATGGATGCTGTATGGCTTTATTTGTCAACCAGAGATGGTGTAACCCTTCACACATAACTGTCAAGGAGAAGTTGTGTTGTCCAGATATTGAACTGTTGGCAGTTGCTCTTCAGCCATATTATGTTCCAAGAGAATTTAGTCATATCATAATAATAGTTGTTTACATTCCACCCAAATCAACTGAAGAAATTCTGTGCGATGTTTTGCAAAATAGTGTCGCCAGGCTACACACGCAACACCCTGAGGCACTAATAATAATAATATAGGGAGACTTTAACCATGTCACCCTCTCCTCTCACCTGAATGGATTCCCACAGTTTGTGAACTGTCCTACCAGAGAAAACAAAACCCTGGATCTGCTGTATGCAAACATCAAAGAAGCCTACAGAGCCACTGCCTTACCACCACTGGGCAAGTCAGATCATAACTTGGTCTGTCTGCAGAAACTGTTACAGACCTTGTGTGCTGAGACAGCCTGTGACCAAAGTCAAAATAAGGAGATTGACACCTCAAGCCAGTGAAGCTCTAAGGGACTGTTTTAAATCAACAGACTCGAATGTGCTGCTGGAAACAGATGTGGATAGTATGAACATTGACAAACAGGTTGACTGCTTTACTGATTATGTCAACTTCTGTAGAGACACAGTTATACCCACAAAGACTGTTCGCTGT